ATGTTGGTGCAGCGGCCAAGAGCTGGTGCAAGGGAGTGCTGCAGCCACAGCAGGAGGGGGTACCCTTACACAGCGCAAACGCATCAGAGCCAGCAAGGCGCTTAAATGGGCAGAGACACAGTGGCACATCTGCCTGCTTCCTCAGCACAGCTTGTGGCAAAGGAAGGACACCCTCCCATTTATTGCAGGACACAAACTTGAGAGTGTTGCACACAGTTTAAGTTTTACTGGAACAAATCTGGAGGAGAAAGTGCAGCACGGAAGCAGCCTCGCTGAGGCTGGTGTCAGTCACTGTAAATGAAAGCAGAGCAGGACCCAGGAGGCCACAGCCACCCCTCTGCCCAGCACAGCAATTCATACCAGCATGAAGGAAAGGGGAAACCAGGGCATTTTGGTACTGGGGTACTTGTCACTGGTATCCAAGGGTAGATAAGGCCAGAAAGACTAAAAACCCAGAACCCATGTGCTGGTCCTGGTAGATCTAGTACATTCACAGCCCCCTTATGCCCCACCACTGCTTTAGAGGCTACTGTTGGCAGATGACCTGAGCTGAGAGCAAGGGAGGACAGGGGACTGCCGGGCATTCACCTCCAGCAAGAACAGGAAAGCCGGAGAGTTTCCGCCGACAATAGCAAAAGCACGTGGAATGTGGAGGTACTGCGAGCATCCCTGCCCTGGAGTAACCGGGCAGGGGCCAGGGCAGCAGGGACACAGTAGCCCACCCTCCTCCCAGTGCAAGGTCAGGCTAGCAGGAGGCAGGTCAGATTCAAAAACCCAAAGAGATGTTAAATGAGGCTAGCAGAAGGCAGGACAGGCTTTAAAACCCAAAGAAAGGTTGAATGCCCAAGCTGCTGTGTAGTGCTTGCAAAGGGGACGTTGGAAGATATTTTGATAAATATTTGCTGCGTAAGGCTTTATCTGAAGGCCATGCACACACACATGTACTCACCACCTTGCTGAGGACTATCCTATAACTGGGGTTGTTTTTCCCCACAGGATCCAGAGCAAAGGTACATCACAGTGCCATTAACCTTTGTGCTGCACTGACCCAAACATTCAGTGTTACCCTGCAGCTGCTTCCCGAGATAACCTTCCAGGTAGCCTGGCTGCACTCTGCTCCGTCAGCAGGATGGGCTCCAGCACCAGCTCCAGGACTCATACAGCAGGTCAGCCCTGCAATGGCAGGAGGGCAAGCCCACAGCCAGCTGCTTCCATTTTGCACGAATGTTCATGAATTGTGAGATTTTAACAGACTATTTTGAACAATGAAGTTTCACATTGTTTTCCACAAAATTCTCCTGAAACCAACCCAATTTCTTCTCTTCCCTACCAGTATCACCCATAAGTCTCAAAAAAAAAAAAGCTGGCACACACAGGTGGCCCTAGGTCAGCCCAGGCTTCTCACAGCTGAGGCTGCCAAACTCTGCACTGCCAAATCCAGCCTGAAAAAGCAGCAAATACAACTTTCAGTGCTAATTTAAGAAGTTCTGGATGGTTCCTCTGCAGCACAGGCCACTGAGCAGACAAGATGTGGGCCTAGAAGCAGCATCTCCCAGCATTTGCCCAAGGCTCCTTGGCAGACAGCTGAGCATTAACTGACCTCAAGCCCCTCACCGCCAGTTTATGACCCTGGTTGTACACCAGACATGTTTTTACCTCCATGGTATCATTCCATTTGCTATTTGGACAACATTAAATACTAGCAGCCATTTCAAGAGCTGTTCTTATGAAGCAGAGGGGCTGGGATGGAGTGATGAAGGTGCAGTTGGCATGTTTGGTAACACAATGGGGGAATAAGCCAAGGGACAGCCTCCAGCTGGCCTGACATCTCCAAGGAGAGACCCATTGGATGCACACTTTTGCAAATCCCACTGGCACAGCTAGAAATGGATCACAGGGCAAAGACCAGAGGGATGTTCTAGCACTTTGCAGGGCAAGTGCACAGCCATGGGGATGCCCATGGCTGCTGAGAACAGACAAGCATGTGCACAAGTGAAACAGCTCTTTGGAGAAAAGGGGAAGTCAGCCCACATACACAGCTTATCTGCTCAGCAGCATCTCATTCTCATGAGATTTCTGTTCAGTGAGTTGAGGACAGGAGCATACCTTTGGTGACAAGCAGGACTTCAATGACTCCTCAAGTAAGCAGGATGATAGAAACTTCTGCAGTGGGAGGAAAAAAGCCTGTGAAGAACAGCCAGTACATTTCTCCCTTGACTTCTTTTCCAGCAAGGACAGAGATCTGCTCTCAAGTGGGGAAAGCTGCCAGAGGATTTCAGGAGACAAAGCAGCAGAGAGGCCGATTTTATTCCAGCTGCTAACTTTGCCAGCCTGTGGACCACCACCTCCTGCACAACCCACCTGCTTTCAGGGAAGCCCCACACAGCACACCCATGGCTGAACAGGTAGGGTAGTTGCAGCTGGGCTGCGCTAGTCCATTTGCATGCAGCTGCACTTGCAAGCATGAAGAGGATTTAAAATAGCAGCAGAAACACTCAGCTTGAAGTGTGAGCCCAGACAAACACAGGTTCCTGAACTGGTATAGACGTCCTTTCTGTTCTCTGCAACTTCAGCATTTCTCTCCCAGCACAGGATCATGTTATTCCCAGAAAACCTCTCTGGGATTCCTGTGCTCTTTCAGCAGCCTCAGTCTGGAAGTTTCAAGGCTTCTTTCCCCCCCCCCCCCCCAATCTCGAACATAACTTCCGTCACCTCTTT